GAGAGAGAGAGAGAGAGAGAGAGAGAGAGAGAGAGAGAGAGAGAGAGAGAGAGAGAGAGAGAGATTTGTGACTTTGGGATGTTGACGACATTTAGATACAGACTCGACCTTGGGACCGAGACATTGACGAGGGACTATTTGGGATCGATACCGGCGACACTTGTGTGACAACATTCCCATCTTCTCCCTCTCCTTAGTCTGATCGCCCTCCTCCTCATCTGTGTATGGTTGGAGCCTGGCGCATTCTTCCTGTGTGTAGCACCAGGCTCCTTCACACCTCGCGATGATAATGAAGTATGTTTGGTCTGCATTGCGACATTGATTGGTCTGATCATTGGTATTTTAGCCTTCCGCTCCGCTATCCCGTACTATGTGAGAGAGGTCGGTTCTTGTTCTGGTCTGCACCGTTACGGTATGCAACAGTGTGTGTGTCGCAATGTGTGTTTGTGTGTGTGTGTTGGGGGGCGGAAGGGGGGGGTCCTGCCACCGTTACGGTATGCAACAGTGTGTGTGTCGCAATGTGTGTTTGTGTGTGTGTGTTGGGGGGCGGAAGGGGGGGGTCCTGCCGGGGGAGGCTTGTTGGGGGGGCGGGGCGGCGCGGGGGTTGAGTTTGGGGTTGGTGAGTTTGTGTGTGGAGCGGGGGGTGGGTGGGTGGTCGTGTGTGCGTGCATGAGAATCTGTAAGGGTTAACATGTGAATTTGAAGACCTGGTTGTTCAGGCCATTATCTGTTGGAAATTAAGATGTCAATGTCATGCTATTCTTTTTTTCCCATGATGGCAGATAGTTAATCGGTTGGAGTCACTGGAGTCGGTTCTCTCAGAAAACTGGCCACGACCAAATGCGTCACATATCCCTGGATATCGATACATGTGCTTTGATCGGGGAACCAAAGTCGTACAGTCCTCCCCCACTGGCAAGATAACGACGCTTTCCAAGGATTCACTGCGTCTCCTCAATCAGGTGTGTGTATGCCTTTGCACTCTCCTTCCTTGCAAGGGAACTCGGCCCACCAATGACTCAACACCATGGTTGATGTGATCATATATCCATGCAATTGAGCGAGCCTACTCCAAAAAATCGATGGCATCACAACAGCGCCAACAAAGCATGTGCAAAGAAAAATGAAGTCCCTTATGTAATGGCCACAAAGCTAAATTGGAAATACCCAACCTTAAAAAGGTTGTGGTTAACTGTTCTGGTCTGTCACACCAGAAGCTGCAGGTTCAAATCCTGTTTTCCCCACTGGACTGAGCGGCTCATTGCATTGGTTTGTTAAATCAACATACAAGATTGTATTATGGGTTCAAAACTCATTTCCTTCCCTCTGTTTGGGGGGCTGAAGTGGTATATAACAAATGTTTTGCAAGTATGAAGTTATCTGTTCAAGCCCGGTTTTTCAAATCCTGTTTTCCCCACTGGAGGTAAAGCTGAGTGGCTGAGGCATCAGTTTGCTAAATCAACATACGACAAGATTGTATCATGGGTTCAAAGTTCAAACCTCCTTTCCTTCCCTTTGTTGGGGGGCCTCAAGTGGTATAGCAATGTTTTGCAAGTATAACATTATCTGTTCAAGCCCGGTTTGTTTCCAAACAGCTTTCCTCGGTAGCCCACGTAGCTCGGCGGTAGAGAATTCCCTTGGTAAAGGAAGACCTCCAGTTCAAGTCCAGTTGTAGGCTCCGTCTTACATTAGAAAAGATAAAAAAGAAGGGAAGAAATAGGAGTGCATAGTGTAGTTTGGAACCAAAAAAACGGCAGCAACCTATAGAGCAGGCACAGAGAGAATCCGGGCATACGTAGCTCAGTGGTACAAAAATGATTTTATTTATCTTTTTCATCTTTTTTAGTGTAAGGAAGAGCCTACAGCAACACTTGAACGTGGCGCCTTTCCCTTACCAAGGGAATGCTTCACCACTGAGATACGTATGCCTGGATTCTCTCTCTGCCTGCTCCACAGGTTGTTGTGGTTCTGTGGATCCAAACGACAATGTCCTTTCCTATTCCCCCTGCAGATGGTCCAACTTGCGGGCAGCCAAACGACCGTGTTTTATGCCCTATAGCCTGAATATTCACGAGTATCTTGCAGAACAGGATACAGTCCCCGTCCACTGGATATTTCACGAATATCTTGCAGAACAGGATACAGTCCCTGTCGGGGGTACACTCCCAATTCAAGGGGCAGTCCCTGCTCTGGATGCAGCCCCAGATATCCGGATTAGAACATGGTTTGCGTGAATTGCAAATTGCCCCACAAGGCGTAGACCACATGGCTCATCTGCAATTGACTGACCGGCAAACAGCCCAGGGCATTTTGGGTTTGCAACACCATCTGGGTCATACACAAATTGTTGACCAGCATCCGACACTGCAGCCTGGGATCCAGCCTGAGATCCCCTCCAATCTGTGATCTGGTTGCAGTTAATATCTGTCTGCACAACTCTGCAGGTTCTCCCGCTTTATACAGCGTCGGACTTTCTTGCAATCACCCTTCAGCTTGATGTTGATCTTCCCTGCCTATGGGCATAAGATTGTAATTATACCAGGGAAGAAGGCTTTACAATCGCGGTCCCAACAAATCTGTGTGTGTGCATGTGTGTGTATAAGTGTGTAACCCGCATAATAAGACATGATTACGGTATGATACGGAAACCGCATCATAATCAAGCTCCGAAATAATATATCGGCGCACCTTAAGAATGAAAACTTGTAGGCGTGGTGCAGACGCACCCGGTACTCGGAGGTGGGGACTGACTATGCCGGACTACACGAGCAAGCTCAGGAACAAGAACTTGTAGGCGTGGTGCAGACGGAACCTATACTGTAAGGTGGGGAATGACTATGCTGGACTACACGAGCATGTATGCTCCCACTGCATTTTGCGGGCGAACTGGAACACACACGATCAAACAGACACCACAAGACGGGGAAAGGAAGCACATAAGGCAAAACAAAAGGCAAGGAGGCAACAACAACAAACTGCAAAANAAGGCACAAGGACTGGGGGAACACACACGATCAAACAGACACCACAAGACGGGGAAAGGAAGCACATAAGGCAAAACAAAAGGCAAGGAGGCAACGACAACAAACTGCARAAAGGCACAAGGACTGGGGGGCACAGGGGAGGTGGGAGGGCAGACCATACATAAATGCAAAAAACAAGGAAAGACAAAAAAAAGTGCAATTACAGAAAAATACCCCAAGCATAAGACATCAGGCAGCAACAAAAGACAATGGGTGGAAGGCACGGGGAAGGCGGGAGGGCAGACGTCACTCAAACACACAGAGCATGCAAACCAAAAATACATGTCCCCCAAAACAGCGAAGACCGAAAAAAATAAAAAAACGATGATGACAAGATTGTTTCGTCGGAGTTGCACCGACTCATCAGGATGCTGAACCCTCGACAATCTGCGGAATCTCCGTATTTGATGGTTTGGGTCATGAACCCTTTGACCTTTGTTGAAGGAAGACTGTCCCCAAGCGGAACATAGCAGCGAGCAGCAACCCTGTGGAGCACCAGGCAACACAGTAGAGGCAACACGGCTGCACAACGCCAAAACCGACTGCAAGGAACGACATGGCACACAAGGCATGCAGCGCGGCAACTGTGTAGTGAAGCACAAGACAACACAAACAAGGCAACAGCGCTGCAGAGGACGAGAGGGCAAGCGGACCAGCAGGTCGGCAACCGTGGAGCAGAGCACAAGGCACCAGCAACAAGGCAACTAACCTACAGGGCACACAAGCGGCAAGCACGGAAGGCACAACCAGCGGATGAGCAGCACGGCAGTGGAGCAGCGAGGCGCAAGGCAACACCAACAACACAGCCACACCGCACAGCGAACACATCAACCTGCTAAGAGCCACTTGCGAAGCAAGCGGGACAGGCAGCAGGGCAACGGCAGAGCGCAGACGAGGGCATCTACACATCCAACACGAAGCAAAGCAGCACATGACCTACTCACATCACAGTTAAACCCCGCAGACTGTTGGTTCCCACCACCCACTGAGCCGGGGAGACACTCCGATGATCATCCGTCATCACCCATAGGCAACACAGACATCCCTAACCGAGCACCCCCCCTAAGAGTGCAGTTGGCACTCCAAACGAGGAACCACCGACTGTTTGGGCACACAAAGAAAATTCTTGGAAAATATCAGAGGGAGGACAGACAACAGGAAAAAGACTGACAGTCTGACAGACATAAAACTGATTGTGTGTGTGTGTGTGTGTGTGTGTGTGTGTGTGTGTGTGTGTGTTCGATTGATTCACAACTCAAACCTGCATTCAAATGTTCCCATACACATCTGCAATGACAGGGAGACTGGAGAGAGGAGATTCACACCATAGCCATGGAGAGAGATTGCACAGCGGAAGCCAAAACCAGATATAAAAATTGAGAGAAAAATGTTCCAATCAATTATTTATTATGCCCCCTTCTCTCCTCCTGTCGACCGAACAACTCCAAGAATCTCAATCACGAAATCTGTTCCACCTCCAATTAACCCCCGACAATACACTTCGGCGAAGCTTCACTGAAACTTCCTCTTCTCCCTACGACCCCAACCTCCAATGATAGCCCACTGTTGAAAACAGCATCTCATTATGCCACGAGCCTCTCAGTACAGGCTCTGATCTGGCATGAGCCAGATACCAAGTCGCAGCTCCGCAAACCACCTGGAAGACGAAGGTGAGCCTCGATGAAGAAGATGATGGCTGCCCTGGTATGACTGCAACTAGCAACACGCAAGCCGCTCAATGATGGCAGTGGCATCAGCACCTGGAAGACCTCCTGCAGTTGCTGTGTTACATACTTCAATGAGTATGGGCAGAACCAAAGATCAACCAATGTAGGATGAGCATATATGCAGCGGAAGTCTGATAAACGGACTGACTCACATAGACTGACTCACACAGACTGACTCAAGAATCACTCCACACACATACAATCGTGAGATGGTGGGGTCTGGGCCAAGCATAGACGATGCCCAGACCTCGTACACGCATACACAGATGAGAGGTGGGAGGAGAGACGAAGGAGGTGGGGGAGGTAGACAGC